AACTTATGTTCACAAGTTTTTTGCCAACTTGAAATATGTATGTATTTTTGAATAGATGAAAATGAAAAAATGATTCATTTTGAGAGAAAATGCGTGAAATGATAAATTAATGTACATAAGAAAACACTTTGATTTTCATCTCTAAGTGTAATTAGAGATACAATGGGCTTAAGTTCTCATTGTCCAACAATTTTAGAGATGGGATAAATGACTCTTTGAAGAAGTTTGGACCTTGAATAGTTTACTTCATCGAGCCGCTCGTGTCTGAAGTTATGTCGTCAGGTAGGGAAATACGTCATCACGTCATGTGGGTGGAACCATGTGTTTCGTGGAGTGGAAACCCCTCCCCCTTTCACTTGATCTGCTGTACACCATCACGCTGCCTGTTTTTTTGTTTTTTGTGAAAAAGCGAAGCAGTTAGTGGTTGTCTGTGTTGTTAGGGATGAAAAATAAAGATACAGTATTGTTAGGAAAAATACAAATAAAACTACAAAAGGATTGCTTTGTGAAGGTCACATCTCTAAACAATTTTCATAGCAGTATGTCTCAGAATAATTAATGTTTTCCAGACAACAAACCCTTTGTGGTTTTCCTGAGCTTACTAAACCCACAAACTTTAACTTCTTGGATATTTTTCTGAGAAAAAATCATAATAAAAAGTTAAAACTTGTATTAAATTTGCTTACGACTGTCACATAACTGTTCATTCAATCCTACGATCAGGTAAAATTTAAAATTTACCTGCAAAACTAATTACAATCACATGAATTTTTGCTGTGTTTTGTGACAAAATAAAGCCTTACAGAACAGCCAGCATGGCTAAAAACTTCAGTCTAATTCAAGGAGTATTTTTATGAACAACTATTAATAATCTAAATTAGATTTGATGCCACATATGAACTCAGAGGGCATAAAAAACCATGCAAAATCAACTTCAAGGGGCCTCCTCAGGAATAAAAATGGATRAAGTGAAAAAACTGTTTGAGCAGATTAGACTAAAATAATAATAATAAAAAATTACCTACAGTACATTAATGAACATGGGGTGTGGACAAAACACACAAAACTGAAAGACAAAACTGAATTTATGGTACGCTTGTTGTTTATCTTTTAACTTGTTTCAAATGTTGAGTAGGCCAACCTGAAAGACAACCCGCGTTTGGATTATTGAGGTCAGATTACCGTCCTTCCCAGACATCTGTCTCACCACAGCCCTCCCTCTCAGATTCACTAAGCCTGAGAGGCTCCGGCCCACTTAACACAGATGGACCTCCCATCATGTCAGCACTGCTGCTTTAGTTGGGAATAAATAAACTAAATTAGACTGACAACAATGGTATCAAAATTGGCACAAATCTCAACTGAGCATGCTGAAATATAAATTATTTGTGTGATTTTCAGCAGATAAAAGACWAAAATAATGTGGACTATAGCTATAAACACACCTATCTCTTGTCTTATTAAGTGTTGCGTCAAGGAAGATTAAGGTAATAGGCTTTCTTCCACGCATCTAATAGTCAWGTCCTGCCCTCGCATGCTTGTTTCTCATGCTCATCCTGGAACATGGATGTTCTCTATGTTGCATTAGGCCTGTCTTTAATATTTGATGTCATCATCTCTGGATACTCAAACTGTCTGCAGGGTTGCACCTGCAAAAATGACAACTCGAGCAGGTATGGCAATGATTGAATCTATAGAAACCTTTAAAAGCTGGTAATAACGTAGTCATGACATTGCACTGATGTAAGTCACTAGGAAAATGTGTCAAAACTTTAAAAACTGTTTATAATTTTTAAACAATGCTGCAGCTATTAAATGAGGATCTGTGTWTATTTGACAGGATGTATTCACCCTTATGTTGTCTCATCAATGAATGTCTTGTATACCATTCTAGGTCTTTACTATGTATGGAAACCTCCATCGGACATATCCCAGAGGACATCCCTGATGATTTCATAAAAATCCGAATTGAAAACTGCCCTCTGACTGAGTTACCCCGWGGTTCTTTCTCTCGAGTTAGTGCCTTGGAGTTCCTGTGGCTGAATTTCAACCAGATCACACTGATGAACATTAAAAGTCTSGAGGGGCTTTCCAATCTTACTGAGCTGAGGCTACAAGGGAACAAGTTGACCTCTGTACCATGGATGGCATTTCAAGACACCCCCAAACTCAAAGTTTTGGACCTGAAGCACAACCGGTTGGATGTGTTACCTGAACGTGCTCTGAGACRGTTACAGTCCCTGACCTACTTAGATTTATCCTTCAATCACCTTACCATCATATCAAGAGAAGTCTTTATTCACTGGCCTCTTTACAGAAATGCAGCGAAATCTTGGGAAAAAGAAGGACTGGTGTCCAATTTGGTTTTGGGGCTGCATGACAACCCCTGGTTGTGTGATTGYCGCCTCAAAGGTTTTGTTGAATTCATCAGGGACGTCAGCCCTCCCATCATTCTGATGAACTCTTACCTGATGTGCTCAGGCCCAGCCTCCCGAGCCAACAAGTTTTTCCATGAGATCCAGATGAAAACGTGCATGAAGCCAGTGGCCTCTGCCCCAGAGAGCAACATCAGTTTATCTCTTGGAGCGAATGCAACTCTGACATGTGTGGTCAAAGCCAGGCCGGTTCCAACCATTCAGTGGATGTACATTCTGAAGAGTATCAGAGGATTTTCTTGTAAGTATTTTTTGTCTTTCTATATCTAAAAGCCATATTTAATATAAATGCTTTATAATTTAAATGTTGTTTTTCTCACCCTGCAGCTTCCCAGACTCAGGTAAATAAGGAGATTGCCACCTCCCAGTTGGTGATCCCCTCTGTACACTTAGCAGATCAAGGCGTCTACACCTGCATGGCCAACAACTTTATTGGCAACACATCTGTCAGCATCTCCCTCAACATCGACTCCCACAACTCCTCTGCTCCTCCTCCTCCACCTGTCTTCATGCCGTCACCAGAAGACAACAGCAACATTGAGGTCCGTATTGCCAAGCAGACAGTAAATGGCATCACCCTCGAGTGGCATGCTATGACAGCTGACCCTGCAGAAACATGGTTCACCATCCATTTTGGCAGATACGGTCCCCATAAGAAAGAAATGATCTACATCGGTCCTGGAATTAACAGCTACTCAGTCAGCAACCTGCTCCCTGTCACCAAATACGAGGTGTGCGTCTCCCTAAAGAACCACCCACCCAGGGAGGGCCAATGTATCGTCTTTGTAACAGGAAGTGACATCAGCGAGTTGGAGCAGAGGCAGAGACTCATCCACATCATAGTGATCGTGTGCGCCATGTTGCTAGCCGTCCCGGCCGGGATGTACGCGTGCACCACAGAGGCCAGATTCAGCTGTGTGGATCGCTGTATGGATCTGTGGAAGAAGCACAGGATGCACGAGGAGAATGTTGAAGGAAACGAGAGGCAGAACACTTTCGACAGCCTGCAGGCAGCCAGTGACGAGGCCCTGTGCAAGGGCTCCACGGACAAACACACAAAGAGACAGAAGCCTGAGGACAGATACAAAGGTGGAAGTGCTGCTTACCTCTACTAGAATCAAAGTTAAAACTGTGAATGTGTGTGTGATTCTTTAAAAAATGTCAGTCTTACTGTAGCTCCAGTTTGTGCCTTATTTGTCTTTGTTTGTGATGAGCCCAAACATTTTCATCAGTAGAGCAAATAATATTTAATAATCACCTTCCAAAATGTAATAAAAAATAAATTTTCCACGACAGGCAGCACAAGTTGGAATTTTTTTATAGCAATTACAAACAGACCTTTATACACTCACCGGCCACTTTATTAGGTACACCACTCTAGTAACGGTTTTGTGGTCATATAGGGATGGACATGGTCAGCAACAATACTCAGGTAGGCTGTGGCGTTGCAACGA